GTCGATTTTATTTACATTCTTATCTCATGTTTTATCTATCAGTTGATTCTAAAAGCTAAAAACCAATAAGCAGCATTTACGATATTTAAAAAAAAAAAAAAACTAGGCTGGCTGGTTAGCTCAGTTGGTTAGAGCATAGTATTGGTAACACCGAGGTCCAGGGTTCGATCCCTGTATTGACCAGCCACCAAAAAAAAAAAATTGAACTGGACCCAAATCATTAAGAGTAAAAACTCACTTCTGAGTTCTCTAATACCTAACTTTAAAGAAACAAAACTGAATAGTACACTATACAGTTAAGAATTCAGGAGGGAAAAAAAGACATTCTTTAAAACATCTCTATCCAGATTAATATGGGATTTTTTCCAGCAGTATGTACTCATCCAAGAGCACTAATTACACACGACTTACATAAGATGTTTTAAGTATTTATTTTCATTATTTGATCCTGACTGCTGCATTACATTAGGACAAGACCACATGGCTTATGATAATGGGCTTGGTGAAAGTCTCCTCTCCATGGAAACCTGACAGGGTTTTCTTTCCTTCAGGGAAATGAGTTTGTTCAAACCACGATAACAAAGTTTAGAAGATAGCATAGTCAATCATAACTGACAATATGTTAGAAAGGTCTGAACATTCTGGCTTTAGAAAGAATGTAACAGACCTTTGATGATTCAAGGTATAAGTCCTGAGATCCTGGCCCAAATTCAAAAATATTCCTGAGTAAGTTTACACAGGTTCCTGTTTTTTTTTTTCAGAATTATATTTTCATCTTGTGTCAGTTTCTTATACATACTTTCACACCCAAGTTATTAATCTTTTTAATAGTTTGCCTTCACTTAATAGCGACTGTATTTGTTTGCTAGGGCTGCCATAACACAGCACAAAAACTGGGTGGTTTATGCAACAGAAATGTACTGTCTCACAGTTCTGTAGGCTAGAAGTCCAAGATCACAGTGTCAGCAGAGGTGGTTCATTCTGAGGGCTCTGAGAATCTGTTCCAAGGCTCTAACTAGCTTCTGATGGTTCGCTGGCAAGCTTCTGTGCTCCTTGGCTTATACTCATAGAAGCATCACTCTCATCTCTGCCTTCATCTTCACATCGTGTTCTCCTTGTGTGAATGTGTTTGTGTCCAAATTTCCCCTTTTTATAAGAACACCTGTCGTATTGAATTAGGACCCACCCTAATGACCTCATCTTCACTAATTACATCTGTAAAAACTATTTCTAAATAAGGTTACAATATGAGGTACTGAGCCTTAGGATTTCAATATATGAATTTTGGGGGAACACAATTCAACCCATAGCAGTCAGTTTTCACATGATAAAAATTTGACATCTCCCAACCACTACAACCATGTTTGGATAACTGCTGCATCTCTTGTGTCTAAAACAGAACACGGCACACAGGAGAAATTCAATAAACATCTGATGAATAAGGGAATAAATGAACAAGACAAAGTGCTTAGAGTTTAGCTAGGCTAGATCATTAGCTCAGTAATGCTTTCCTGTATGGAATTTAGCAGGAATTAAAATTGTGCCTTGGCAAAATAACAAAATTCTATATACTCCTTGGACCTCTAAAAGTCACTCACAAATAGTAAAAATCACAAATGCTAAGTCACAAATGTCAAAACCCACAAGAACCAGCAACTACTATGCACAATTTTAAATAATAATTTTTCTTAAGGGAAAAATAGAGAAGAAAGTCTCAGAACTAGGGTAGCCATTTATTTCAGTTTAAATAAGTCAAAAAATGCATTATTAGAAAGATCCAAGGTCACCAAATGAAAGGATACCAGCCAAATACATTACAACATGGACCATAGGCAATCCACTGCTATATAGCACTAGATTCAGAGGTGAATCCTTGTTATAATAATCTTTTGCTTTTTTAATAACTATTTTTAGATAAAGCCCAAAATAAATTGCACTCTATAGCGAATTGTGTATAACAAGCTTCTATTCTTTTTACAATAATATTTTTCAACATAGCATCTCAATAGATAATACCTACATAACAAGGAATTGAAGGTACCCTTTTCTATTTCTCCTAATCATCTCATTCAAATCATATCATCGTGAATTTCCTCGTTACTTGGCTATAAAAATGTATTACTATAAACTTTAAATTCAAGCCCTGGATAGGTCTACATTCATTTCAGCAGAAGCATCTTGAAATGTTGAATTATCATCTTCAATTTCCTTCAGTCATTTATTGTAGCCGCCAAACTGAAATGGTGCACCTTAAAGGCAACACTAAACTGAAAAGCAAATAATAAAAAAGAGAATGGATTGGTATTATTTCTAAATAAGACTTTTTTCTTTTCTTTTTTTTTTTTTCAAAAGATGACCGGTAAGGGGATCTCAACCCTTGGCTTGGTGTATTCATTTTAGTGGAGTAGAATATGTTAAGAGAAAAATTGAAGCTTGAATTTCATCAGATGTTTATTGAATTTCTCCTGTGTGCCGTGTTCTGTTTTAGACACAAGAGATGCAGCAGTTATCATTCATTTTAGTGGAGTAGAATATGTTAAGAGAAAAATTGAAGCTTGAATTTCATCAGATGTTTATTGAATTTCTCCTGTGTGCCGTGTTCTGTTTTAGACACAAGAGATGCAGCAGTTATCATTCATTTTAGTGGAGTAGAATATGTTAAGAGAAAAATTGAAGCTTGAATTTCATCAGATGTTTATTGAATTTCTCCTGTGTGCCGTGTTCTGTTTTAGACACAAGAGATGCAGCAGTTATCATTCATTTTAGTGGAGTAGAATATGTTAAGAGAAAAATTGAAGCTTGAATTTCATCAGATGTTTATTGAATTTCTCCTGTGTGCCGTGTTCTGTTTTAGACACAAGAGATGCAGCAGTTATCATTCATTTTAGTGGAGTAGAATATGTTAAGAGAAAAATTGAAGCTTGAATTTCATCAGATGTTTATTGAATTTCTCCTGTGTGCCGTGTTCTGTTTTAGACACAAGAGATGCAGCAGTTATCATTCATTTTAGTGGAGTAGAATATGTTAAGAGAAAAATTGAAGCTTGAATTTCATCAGATGTTTATTGAATTTCTCCTGTGTGCCGTGTTCTGTTTTAGACACAAGAGATGCAGCAGTTATCATTCATTTTAGTGGAGTAGAATATGTTAAGAGAAAAATTGAAGCTTGAATCACCAAGCCAAGGGTTGAGATCCCCTTACCGGTCATCTTTTGAAAAAAAAAAAAAAGAAAAGAAAAAAGTCTTATTTAGAAATAATACCAATCCATTTCTAATAGATAAGTAGAATTTTTTAATCTGCAGGGTATCTTAAAAACTAATCAACTTGACATAACCTCCTAATTCCAGGAATGTAAACCATAATTCAAGCTTCAATTTTTCTCTTAACATATTCTACTCCACTAAAATGAATTCCCATCCTGCAACTATGAAGAATAAAATTGTACTTAAAATAATATTAAAAGACAAGATCTCATTATTTAGTATTAGATTAATAGTCTATAATTCTAATCTAAAAAATATCTATAGCTGCAACCTCTCCAACTTGTTAATTCCCAAAGAGATTAATAAAAGACGTAATTAACATCTAAACTTAGAGCAGACTGTCATTTGGAACAAACTATGTTAAGTATAACTGCACCATAGTCAAATAGATAACCCATCACCCTTTATGGTTCTGACTAAGGCTAATGAGCACAATTTGTCATAAATTTTCCAGTAACTCTGAAAAACTGAATTGAACAAAAAAACTATTTTTTTAATAACACTTTATAAAAATAGGATAAAGACTGGAGTTGTCTTTTCCGGAACCTAGCGCCTAGCATAGTACCTGGCAATGTAAATGTCACTGAGTATTGTATATTTGTGGAATTAGTAAACAAGCAACAAATAAGCAACCCAATGCACTACTGCCATTCAGCACCTTATTAAGTGCTAAGTAATTAGTATTTAAAATTCTACCTAATAAAATGGAATACTCTCAAGCCATTTTTTTTATTACTAACACTGAATTATTAACTTAAAAATCTCCACTTAAATAGAATGCAGAGTTGGACTTTCACAAACCGATAATTTGGCTAATGAGTCTCTGCAATTATATGACACTTTTCATTTAATCTATTTTCCTTTATGAAATTAGGAAATATACACAAATATAAATTATGTTTCTTTGCAAAAAATAACAAAAAGACATGTATATTACACTTGATCTTAATAATAACCCTTATTTCTCATGAAGATTTTTAAAAATTGCTTGAAATTCCAGAGGGTGAAGGTATAAAAGGAGTGAAATTATAAATGTTCATAAATGTTCTTCCACTTCAAAAACTGTCTCACATTATAGCCAGGAGAGACTTTCCACATCTATCAGTGACTTCCTCTTCATGTGTCGTAGAAAGAGTTCAACATGCTTTACAAAATCCATTACATTTTAAGACCATTTCCAATATCTGATACTATAAATCAAGAAATCCATTTCTTCAAGGTTACTTATGGAGAATTAATCACACAGAAAATTTTAACAACTCCTTTTTCAAAAATTAAAGTCCTTTATTATACTTGGCATTCCTGCACATAATGATGTGGATTCAAAGACTGAAAGCATTAAGAGCATATAATTAAAATTCATGGGATTAGATATTTTTAAGAAAAGCTTAATATGTAGAATTTTCTGTAACAAATATCCCAGAAAAATAAAACAGAATATAAACACAATGTAATCTTTTTTGGATTTCTCCTCTGCTTAAGTGGCATTACGTAACATGGAAAGTTGTTCCAAAATGCTTGTATGTCCTTGATATTACCTTGAAAACATGTAATCAAAAAATCTGAAAAAGTGAGACCAAGAGAACTATGAGCACTATGCATTAGGAACAAAAACTCATGAATTTCTATATTGGTGATGACTTCTAAAACATATCTTCCTAATTGGAAAGGCAAATTTACTCAAAAAAAAAAAAAAAAAAAAAAAAAAAAAGAAAAAAGAAAGAAAGGAACAACACAGTTTAGCTATGCAACATTTACAGCTTTTATTGAGAGGGTATAGCCATTATGCCAAAATTCAGGCATCAACATACAACCTTATTTCCCATCTAAAGTTAATGAGAATATATTTTATTTTAAATGAGACACAGAGGAAGTGTTCCAAGAGTTAAAAGTACAACCTTAAAGTTTTAATTTCATACTTTGAATATCAAAAAAACGGTAATTCCTAAAATCATGAAAACATGATAAAGTAACTACACAGAAAAAAATTAACATTTAAGTTATTTCATTCTTTCTTAATATCATATAGTGAAAACAGATGTACTTATAACTTAAGTCTACAGATAGCATACTGCATAAGGTCATTATTCTCTTAAAATAGTATAAATGTTTACAAAGAACATTTAACTTAAATTTCACAATTGCTTATAAACTGGTATTTGCAAGATTGACCTACATATGGAAGTAAGAGTCTCATCAAAAGAGACAGTAAACTATAAACATAAAATATATGACAATGTTAAAAACCTCAGTGTTGTATAGAGAAATCAATAAAGATAACTTAATCTTTCTGGGGAAAATAAGTACTAAGCATTACAAATTTAAAGTGTAAATTTATATATGCATTCAGTAAGGAATACATTTAAACCTTGCATTGCCACATAATCATCTTTTGAGAAAACAATAAAAATGATATACTTTTTGAATATATGTGTGCCAAAACCAAAAAGCTAAGTTTTACTTTTTCCTTTATTGGCAATTTTTGATGCATTTTTGGGTTTGGGTTCCCAGAGGGCATTTTTTACAAATCTTGAAGCTGCACCTCGGTCGAGCTTGCCAGCCTTTTTCTTATCTGTTATTTCCTTGACTCTGTTCATGTATACTCTGATTCTTTCCTTAAAGACAAAAATAAGAAAGAAAGGTAGGCAATGGATTTACTAAGCTGTTCACCACCACTAAGTTTTATTATGCTATACTTCAGTTAAATTCAACAGATATGTAATTACTATCTATTAAGTACACAGTGCTAGTAAATCCAAGTGAGTAAGATAAACATGCTCCACACTCTCCTGGAGTTCACAGTCTGAGGGGAACGCACACATTAAAAAGTCATTTCAGAAGTGTTCTGAGTGTTTCCGAAGAGGAAGAACCATTCTAACATCACTAGAGATAAACATTGAATTGTTTATATGTGGTTATACATTTTTTTTAATTAGCATTAACCTAAATTCACATATTAACTGTTTTGCATCTGAAGTGTAAAATCTAAAATCTGAGCTCTCATACCCTTGTAACATACAAATTATTCTAAAATTTTTATAAACAGGAAATAGATATTAACTATTTTTTTATGTTACCATCCAATGTCACAATTTTAAAAGGTGGAATGAAAATATAAGATCTTTTATTCAATTTCATAATTTTGATTGATAAGTGCATGAAATTTTCTAATAAAATATACAGTTCTAATCAAACTTTACAAGGTAAGAAATGTAATATGTTGCCATACCACTTTGAATCTTTCTGAGACCATTAATCAGCATAAATGGCTATCCTATACTTCAAATGGAGAAATAAAGTTGATGAGAGCTATAAAACAGCAGGGTAAATGACTGATTGCTTCTTGAAAGCAAGTTCCATTAAAATAATCAAAATAGTTACATAAACATACACAGAAAAATGCAGAATCTTAGAAATCTTTCTTTGTAAAAAGACTGGCTACTTGCTCAAAACCCTCAAAGGGCTCCCTATTTCTCAGAGTAAAAACCACAGTCCTCCCAATAGTGGATACCAGCTGCAGCACACACCCACACGGCCCTGCCTGGGGGCCTTTGCCCTGCTTATTCCTCAGCCTGGAATAATCTTCCCACAAATATCTACACAACCACTCCCTCTCTTCCTTCTAGTCTGCTCAAATGTTAAGTTTGTCAGTGAGGCCCCGACTTTGACATTTGAAATTGCAATCCTACCCAAGCACTCCAAACCCCCCTACCCTGCTCTAATTATTTTTTTTTCCCATAATACATAACTTTCTAACATACTACATATTCATACATATTTATTGCTTGTTTATTTTATTATTTTTATTGTTTGTCCCCCTCCATTAGATACACTCAGGTGTCTGCCACAAGGGCAGGGATCAGCTTTATTTATTCACTGAGGAATCTCTCTTGGAAATAATGGCTGGCTCAGAGTAGGCACTCAAATATTTATTGAATGTATAAACTGACTATTTTCAGCGCCTTTCCCCATTTGTTATATATAAGGCAAATAGGTTTCCTATCACACACTAACTCTGTGATCAATTAATAATGTCTGTCACAAGGTAAGACAAGGGGAATAGGTTTATGTATGATTTGTATTTGCCAACCCTTGTCCACAATGTTAATGTTCTCCTCCATAAAGTGGGTTCTGAGGAAGAAAGAAGACAACTGATCTTATCCTTTTAGATACAAAGACAGTATAAGGTACTGCAAATAATTGTGCTAAAGGAAAAAAAGAAATTTTATAAATGTAAAGTCTACATTAGAAAGTTAAAAACAGATGACAAAAGCCATACTTCTTACGGTTTAAAGCCAGTATCATTGGTCCAACCAAGACATGTGTATCATATTGCTTTACACTTTTCTTTTAAATATTTTTCACAATTGCTGTATTTAAAAATAAATTCACTTTCCCCAAGGAACTTTAAAAGGAGAAAATGTCTTAGTCCACACATTTAAAAAATGAAGACAAAAGATCTAGTTCATTTATTTTTTAAAAATAAATGACCAGGTGCTTCACTAAGTTGTAGATAACATACATAACAAAACTACCAAAAGACTTGAGAACAAGAATATAATGTCAAGTGTATTTCACATATATATTTACCTAATATTTTATAAACACAAAGAATAAATTTATTAATATTCTTATTCATAAAGCCAAATCAACAAGATAACCATAAGTTTGATTTCTAATATTTTCCTTCAAATTGAATGATATGATTTAATTTTTGAAGTCAGCAAAAACTCCAAGATACCAGACCTTATATACCGTACTTATACATCTAAATGGAATACAAAGACAAAACTAGAAGATTTATTACAGGTTGTAAATATGTCACTAATGCAGAATTACTGGACAGTACACATACAACTGGTGCCAAAAAAGCTTTTAGCTTTGTTGCTGAACTGGATTCTTTACTGCTGAGAAAATGAATTAATGGAGGAATTGAAAAGGTCGGGGAGAAACTTTCCCGTCTTTGCTAGTAAATCAACTAGAATATACTTTCAAGAATTGCATAAGAGTTAAAAAAAAAAAATATATATATATATATAGTAGTACTAGAGATGAACAGGATTTCAAGAATTTATAGGAAAAATAATATGGAAGTTATAAATAATTACTAGAATCATAACATTTTCCCATCCAGAGATTTATGTAATATATGGAACACCCTTTCTATGACAAAAGTAAGAGAAAGAAAAACCAAAGACATGATAATATCTGGCTCACTTTCATAATTTCAACTCTAATTTTGTTCTCCATAAATAGTGTGATAAAGGTAATATGACTTAACTTTCAGGAATACTACAACAAATAGACATGTAAAATAAAAAGAAATTCACTGAAATCTTACCAATTCCTGCTTTACTGGATGTTCCTTAGGATTAACTCCTTGAGTTGCCAAATAAACTAAAGGAGAAAGATTTCGTGGAATAAAATGGTATATATATTAATTAAGAACATTCCAGTTAAAATTCTAGTTACTCACAAGAAAGGAAAGTCACACAAATGATTAATTACATATTAAATTATTCAACCTCTATGTAATATTAAATGTATGAGTGGCTCACAGGCAACCAGTATTCTGATTAAAAAGAGATAAATATCATTTAAAATTGCTATAAAGCATAATCATATATAAATTACTAGTATTTAAAAAATAAATCACCTTTGACACAATAAATAATTTGCTTTCTAATTAACTCCAAAGTAATGTACATACCCCAAAACATGGAATTTAATGTGTATGCAGAAACTAAATCCACTTTTGCTTGTTCAAGTGGGTCCAACTATTAAAAAAGAGAGAGAAAGAAAAAAGAAATATAGACACAAACTTTGAACATCATCAGATAACATTTTAAACTTTCACCAAGCACAACATATCAAAGAATCATTTTTTTTTTTTTTTCACTTCCTATAATCCAACAACCAAATGATCTAGAAATAATTTGCAAACAGAAGTTTTCTTAATCAGTGACTTCTGTCACAAATTTTCACTTCAGGGTGTCATCTTTAGTTGGACACAGAATAAATATAACCTCAAAAAAATTATTGTGAATTATTTTAATTTTGAGAGTTACAATCTGGGCTTTGTATGTCAAAAGTAATTTATCAATATAAACATTGTACATAATGCACTTATGTATAAGAAGCAGGCTAAAATGCTTCGGCAATACCAAAGACAGAAGAAACATAATGAGATTTGTTTTAGACTGTCAACATCAATTTACTGTTTTTGTCTTATAGGGTTTCCAGAAACTCTGATAAAACCATCATAATACTTAAAAAGTCAAAGATAAGAAGAGTCTGTCAAAAAGACTGCTATGAGTGCTTCTTTTTTTTTTTCAAAACCAAGTCAAAATAAAAATATAGTTAGGTGTTTCCTAAGGCTGGAGTCTTGTTTTAGTTTATCCCCTAAAAATACCCAAATACTTATAAAATTGAAATAAAGGAGGGAAAGGGACATGTATCACTAATCTATTTCTCCATACGTTTCATAAAACAGCAGTCTGTTTTTTTGAAATTCATTTTCAGGAACTACATTTTTAGTTTTGAGGGGGTTTTTTGTTTGGTTTTTTGGCAGCTGGCCAGTGCAGAGATCTGAATCTGTGACCTTGGTGTTATAATGCTGTGCTCTAACCAACTGAGCTAACCGGACAGCCTAGGAATTACATTTTTAAAATACCTTCTGCAACAACTCATTTCTAGAAACGGACATCATGGTCTTCAGCATCTCATCCACAGCACCAATGGAATTCTCAAACGTTGATAAATACTCATGAATTTCTACTGGATAGTCTTCATTAATTGCTTCACCTGCCATTATGACCAACTGTAAAAAAAAATAAATTCTTAGAATTGATATGGGAGACAGAACTTGTTCTTTGGTTTACTTAAAAAAAAAAATAGGTTTTATTATGTATTTCAAAAGCACTAAAAGAGTTGAAACCTGAAGATAATTAAACAAATCTTAGAATATAACTCTAGTGTAACTACATTCCAACTTCTCCTCTTCTTAAGTTACCTGCAGGGGGAACCCACAGAAGTCCACTAATGCTACACATATAAAACCCTCAACACTTTTAAAGCGCTAGAGACATGATTATCAATAGTGAGATATCAATAATCAAAATCCTACATTTTAAAAACTCTCTGTTGAAGTTAAAAGACCAAGCAAAGCAATGAATTTCAATAAATACATCCCCTAATGCTTGTGAAGAAATAAGCAAAATGCTTTTTGTTAAAAAAGCTTATGTATTTTAGCCTTCTAAATTTAGGTGTTGATTAGCAGCATGTTATATTAAACTAAAAAATTAGAAATATTAGGTCTGAAATATCTTGATTATTTATCACTGAAATCATTTTCAAGCCTGTATATATTTATATGCCTTAAGCTTCTTTAAAATATTAATAAGAAATTCAAAGAGTCCATAAGTCATATAATGTCTATGAACAGAAAAGAGGAAACTTGGGAGAAATAAACTGTATGGTTTTTATTTACAACAGAGCATACCATGACAGCCAATTCTTTTAAAATTTCCACTTACAATAATTATTATCTATGTGAAAAAATGCAAAATCCACATCGATGTATTAAATAAAATATCTAAGACCAAATTTCAGAAGCAATTCCAAGCCATATGTAACATCTTTAGGTTAAAAAAAATTGTTTAGAAGCAGAAACATCTCCATTACATAGCAAAAGAAAACAGCAAGAATGTGTATAATAACAAGGAGCATAGAAGAATGAAAATAAAGAGACTTAGGCCTTCCGTCTTGCTTGATCACTGACTTTGTCACCTTAGATGAACCACTGGATTTCTCTGGGTCTTAAATTCCTCATCCACAAAATAATGATCTGTAAAGTTCCATATAGTTCTAACTGTTATGATTATATCTTTTAAGTTTTAAAAATACTACTTGAATATTTTATCACAATATATCAACATTCCTTCTCATGAGTGTATATTCCACTGAGACATCTGGTTTCATTTAAAAAAAAAAAAAAAAGTTAAGTCCATCTGACTATCACTACTTGAGCTGTAAAGTTACTATCCAACTACTGTGCAACCAGCAATTAAACAAAGGACTATGATAAAAGAAAACCACACAGGAAGAACTGTAACTTCTATTTCAAAAGATTAACTGAAAATATGCACTTGCTTCTCATCCCTCCCCAAATCCCTCCAAAATTATGGAAGAAATATAGAAATACAAAAATAAAAATGCTATAAATCAAGAAGAGCATATACCCATCCAGCAGATCTCAACAGTAGAAATTCTGTAAGCCAAAGAGCAAACAGGATCAGACTGATAGGAAACAGAGTCAAGGAACCTTACAAACAAAAGAGAATGAGAATCTAGTGATAACCCCTGGATCATGGGCCATAAGGTCTGAAAACAGGTAAACCAATCTACAGGTCTGTCAGAGGATGGCTCCAGCATTTGTTTCCCAGATAAAGGTGTTTAAGTACAGATGATACACTGCAAATATTGAGAAGATTTAGTACTTCTTCTCTTTATGTAGAATTTTAAATCAATACATTTGAAAATGGGGATGAAAAAAATGATGTTCTGGGAAGAAATCAATTACCAAAACTAAAAAGAAGTACATAAACTATATAGACCATTAACCACAGAAAAAAACATTACAAGGTAGTCAAAGACTTACCCTACAAAAATGTTCCAGGCCTAGAAGATTTTATAGGTAATTTCTTCCAAACTTTCAAGAAACAATTAATTCCTAAGGTATTTAACTGTTTAAGAATATTTTTAAAAAGATGGAAAATTTAAATACCTATTTCATCATAAACAAAAATAACCTCGAAATGAATTAAAAATGTAAAAGTATAAATGTATTAGATTATGTAAAATAGTTATATCATCCAAATGAAACCCAAATGCTATAAAAGGAAAGGGCTAACAGACTGAACTACATAAAAACTGGGGGGAAAAGGGCCGAACCATGGCTCACTTGGGAGAGTATGGTACTGATAACACCAAGGCTGTGGGTTCGGATCCCTATATAGGGATGGCCGGTTAGCTCACTTGGGAGAGCGTGGTGCTGACAACACCAATTCAATGGTTAAGATCCTCTTACCAGTCATCTTTAAAAAAAAAAAAAAATAGGGCCGAGCCTGTGGCACACTCGGGAGGGTGCGGCGCTCCCGCCGCGGGTTCGGATCCTATATAGGGATGACCGGTGCGCTCATAGCGCTCACTGGCTGAGCGTGGTGCGGCCGGTCTCAAAATGGCTGAGCGTGGTGCGGCCGGTCTCAAAAAGGACAAGGAAAAAAAAAAAACATGGAGGAAAAATGTCT